AGTGCCGAGATTACAGTTTTCTTTCTTTGCGTTTGTGTTTTCAGATTTTTCATTAATTACACATTGCTCTTGTAATACAAAAACAAAACTTCACAGGAAAAGTATTTAAATTTAATTTTTAAAAATTAGGGCTTCCCTGGTGGCGCAGTGGTTGACAGTCCGCCTGCTGATGCAGGGGACACGGGATCGTGCCCTGGTCTGGGAAGATCCCACATGCCGCGGAGCGGCTGGGCCCGTGAGCCATGGCCGCTGAGCCTGCGCGTCCGGAGCCTGTGCTCCGTAACGGGAGAGGCCAAAACAGTGAGAGGCCCGCGTACCGCAAAAAAAAAAAAAAAAAAAAAAAAATTAAGTGGCCTTTTCACTTAGTTAAATCCTAGTTCTTTTACATATTTAAAAAACTGCATTTTAAAACATGTACAACTAACAATAGCTTCGTAACATCTGGAACTGTATGTTCTTAACTTAATAGTGTCCCCGGTAAGAGAGCAACCATCTTTTCCTCAATTACTAATCTCCACAAAGAAATCAACAATATTCTACACTAACCTGAAGTCAGTACATTTTCAAACCACAACTCCTTTACTGTAACTCTACAGACCATCATCATTAGCAATAATAAACCTATTGCATAATTTAATTACTCTCAAATTTCATTTAAATATTAAACTAAAGCAAAAAGGAAATATTGCAAATATTATAGCACTTTAAAATGTTCTATAGTTGATCAATTACACAGTCAAAACCAGAAATCATGGAGCTCTAAAAGTAATTCTATCTTCTACAGAGAAGGCCTGAAAATTCATTCAGCCATCTTAGAGATCACACATTTCCCTGGAACACCATGGAAACTTTCCTCTCCAAGAGCCAGAAATTGAGTGACTTACTTTCAACTTCTATTTAAAATTATATTCTGCTCACGGCTATGCAAGCTGCAATGCTATTACAAAGCTTAAAATCATATACATCAGTTAGAAAGCACTTTAATGACCCCAAATGGGCACAAGGCTTTTTTGGGGTTAACGAAAATGTTCTAAAATAAGATTGTGGTAATGGTTACACAACTCTGTAAATACACTACCAGAGAATGTAAATTCCATCTGAAAGCTTTAAAAAGGAAACAAAAAGAAAAAAGGCATCTTAAATGACCAGTAGTATAAACCCTATGATGCCTCACTCCAGATAAAAAAGGCTATAAAAGCAAATTTTTATATAAAATTACATCCCCCATCAAGTGCTTAATTACCATATTTCCCATTCTTCCCAACCCCTATAGAGTTATCTGGCTTCAAACAAGAGTATATCAAGTTTTTATGTCTTTAACTACCATAGATCCACTGTTAAGTAAAAAGTGCAGGATGCAGAACAAAGTATTTAGTATGCAATCATTTGTGTAAATATTTGGGGGGAAAAAAGAAACTATCCTATTTTGGGGTTGAATCTTCTTCACCGGTTCCAATTATTTTGTGCAATTAAGTTTCAGTTCCACTAAAAATCTTTAATCAATATCTATAGCGCACTGCCTCAAGCATGATGATACTGGCTACTAATCCCATGACTTTGAAATTCTTCAATGGCAATTCGCATTTACAGCCAAGTGTGCTGGGGGTGGGCAGGGCAGAGAAAAGGGGAGAAAATGAGGAGGAAAATCACAATCACCTGTATATTGAAAACCACCATTGAAAGAAAAGAATACACCAAAATGTTACCTGCTGTTATCTCAAGGCAACTTCTGGTTTTTTCTGATAGTTTCTAAAATCCCTCACTGACCATGTATTATTTTTAAAATTTAAAAAAAATTACTTAAAATAAAATTACTTCCACACTAAACAAAAGCCAAACTGAAAACTCTACACAGTATCTGTATGATTCTATGTTTAGGACATTCTGGAAAAGGCAAAACTATGGGGACAGAAACCACCCCAGGTTCTGAGGGTGTGGAGAGGGGATGACTGCAAAGGGGCAGGATAGAAATTAAGGGGATGGTGGAACTATTCTATCCCTCCATGCTAGTGGTAGTGGTTACACAACTGTTAGCATTTATCAAAGCTCACATAACTGTATGTCAAAAAAGATGCACTTTACCATATGCAAATTAATCTCAAAAAAATTCACGTAATTAAATTAATAAAACTGCTTCTGCGGTGAGCCAATATTTTTTCCAAGCGGACAGTTTCATGGGATAAAAAATACTGTAGGGCTTCTCTGGTGGCGCATTGGTTGAGAGTCCGCCTGCCGATGCAGGGGACGCGGGTTCGTGCCCCGGTCCGGGGGGATCCCACATGCCTCGGAGCGGCTGGGCCCGTGAGCCATGGCCGCTGAGCCTGCGCGTCCGGAGCCTGTGCTCCGTAACGGGAGAGGCCACAACAGTGAGAGGCCCGCGTACCGCAAAAAAAAAAAAAATACTGTAGACTACTGAACTACTTCAAAAGCCTCATTTTATACAAAAGACTATAGCCCAGGGATATTTGGTCAAGGGTGCATTGCTAGACAATGTTAAGTAAGCTGAAGTATGTACAGACCTACAATTCCCATGTGTTTAACTTCAAATGCACGGCTCCTTCCACTTCATCATGCTCACTCTTCCAGAGTTCGAAGACCGTAGTTTACACATAGTGCATGTACAAATGGAATATGGCAGGACATAAAATTCCAAACGTTCAAGTGCTATCTCAGTAGAGACAACGTGACTAGGGTCCTTCCCAACCTCTGCCAAAAAACCACCTTACTTTACTTTGTTAGGCAAAAATGGGTAATGGAATCCAAGTCTCTAAGAATCAAGCAGATTTTGTAGAGTATGGATAGGTATCAACAACAAATACTTTGGAGTTTCAAAATGGCGGCATTTGATTCGTGAATTGCCAAAAGCAAAATAAAACAACAAAAAAACTTTGGGAAACCAAAGTAAGATGGTAAACAATCTTTACTAAAACATTCAAACTGACGATCTTATTCAATCTTATAAATTAAAAAAAAAATAAATGTATAGCAGGTGAACAACATAAATAAAATACACTTGGATAGAAAGAAATGGTGTTGTATCTACCATCAACACGCTGAAAACAATTTGTTAAGGCAAAATAATCTTTTCTGTATTTCGATATGCCAGGAAAAAAATGCATACCTCCATTACACAAGAACTGAATAGCCAAATAGTAAAAATGATACAAATATGATGAACCTTATCTACCCTTGACAAGAAAAAGTATAAGCCCATTCTTTGTGCATTGTGCCACAATTGTATCTGCTGTCGTTCAGAGAAGGCAGCCATTAGGTTTAAGAATAGAAGGGGACTTCCGTGGAAGTGCAGTGGTTAAGACTTCGCCTTCCATGCAGGGGGTATGGGCCGGATCCCTGGTAGGGGAACTAAGATCCCACATGCCTCCCAGCCAAAAACAACCAAAACATAAAACAGAAGCAAGAGTTGTAACAAATTCAATAAAGACTTTTAAAATATGGTCCACATCAAAGAAAACCTTAAACAAATAAAGAACAGAAGTTAATTAAGTATCTACTCAAATTTTACTCAAGTCTTTCCTCTGACACCTAGTTGTAAACCTAGACTGATAATGTAACCAGTCACACATTAAAGGATTAAAGGACTCCTTTCCACCAAGCAGTCCCAGTTTTTACTTCATGCTAACCACCTAAGATTTAAACTTGTAAATACTTATGGAGATCCTTCAGAGCCAACTGTGATTCCCCACCATGCTATTACCAAGGGATAGCTAAACCAATTCCACATAGCTAATTAGCAAACTAGGAAAGGAAAAGCAACGCTGAAACTAGGAATTATGACCACCTAGTTAAAAAAATTCTGTGCGGGATTAAAAGGCACGCTGAAACGAAACCCAGTGAGAATACATTCTGCGTACTCACAATACTACTCCTGTATTAGGAGAAGGCCCTTCATAAAAATAGCCAGGACTCTCAAACATTTGAAATGCTGGCTTAGTGACACTGACTGACAGACAACAGCTGGGGAGATTTTGTATTGATCTTGTAACCTCGTGGCATACTTTGGGAGAAAGGGAGAATCGGGAGAAAGGACCGTTATAATGGCAAAACTAAACTGTAAGGATTTCATTTTCATCTATGTCACCCCTACACTGGAAGCCCCTACTAAATTCCTCTACTCTCGAATTCCTCTTCCGTTTTCCAGATCCGATCCCACAGTAATGCACCTCCTTCCACCCGATGGAAACAAAAAACCTCGGTGGGGTGGTCAACACCTTCCCAAAACACTGGGTACCAACTGATAAAGAAACTAGTCACCTCCCCACCTGTGTCTCCTTAATCCATTTCACATTTTAAATCTTAAAGCCTAGAACTCTCGCCTTTTCTTCCGTAATAGAGGAGCTAAGGCGCCGCCCAATTTCCCAGGCCGCAAAAAATATTTCTACCCGCCACATTTCAAGATTTTCTAGTTTTCTCTTCGATCCTAACCCTCAATCCGGCACCCGCTCCCCCTTCAGACACAGAAGTTTATTAGCCCGAAACCCTAGTACAAAGGTGAATTCCTAAGATTCCGCGAGGCACCCCCCCCCCAAGGGGGTGGGGAGGGGTCGGAGCAGCGGGCCGAGGCGCTCCCGCTCGGCCCAGTCCGAGGGGCGGGGGAGCGGCTGTGACCACACAATCCCACCACCTCCTTTCACGACTGCCCCCAACCTCCCGGAGCTCGGGCCTGCTCCCAGGGAGCTCCTTGCCGCCATTCGGCTTCTCCTCACCGGCCCGCCAAGGGCCACACGAGCATCCAAGAAGATGATTAATAAATAGGAATACGCAAAAGATATCCGACGTGTTGTTTCAAAACATAACGGAGCCCGGGCCCCCGAGACCGTTAAACCGCGGGTGGAGGGGGGAGAAGCGATGAACCTAGCGGCCTCGGGCTTTGGCCTAGCCGCCATTTTCGACCCCAAACCTCACTCTCCAGGACCACCAACCCTCCCTCAAACCGGCCCCAGCCCCCAGAAGACCCGACAAAGCGGCAAAAGGGTCGATACCTTGTAGAAAGCCCCGTTGGAGCCGCGAACCTCCACCGTCAGCTCCGCCATGTTGGAACCGCAAAGGCCGCTGGGAAGAGATTCTAGAAACTTTCCAACCAGAGAGGAGGAGGGGGAGGGGCGTGAAGGAGGCAGGAGGAGGGACGGGGAAAACGGGGCGGGGACTGGGATCCCCCGCCCCACACCCCTGGGGTCTCACCGCGCAGTCCTGATTCTCCCAGTGGGATCCCCCCGCTCCTTACATCGCTAGCCCCCGGCTCCGCCCGCCGCCGCAACGTCCTGTTCGCCTCCCGACACAATCGCCCGACCTTGTTGACCCGCCCCTACGTCCCCGCCCCCCAGTGCCCGCAGCTTACCAGCCCCAGCCTGTGCGGGCCTCCAGCCAGCCGGGACTAAACTGGCCCGGCGGGCGCCGCCTGTCCCACGCTTCTGCGTTCTGCCGGTTTCGGGCATCCTGCTCTGAAACTTCCTTGAGGTGTTGGTAACCCTGAAGTAGCTTCCCCACCCAGAGAAGCCCCCACTCTGGGGGCTTCAGACGCCCACTGGCACAAACTTTGGGGGAAAGAGGGAGCCTAAAAATGGATATACAGAGGGCTCTAAATTCTCTCGCCTCGGTCTTAAAAAAAAAATCGGTGGCCTCCTCCTGACTCCACACTGTTCGGCCCAGCTCTCTCCTCACCTGTTACCACTTTAGCTGTTTAAAAAGTCAAACTAATTACGTCCAGTTCAACTTAGCTGTGTTTACAAGCCGCAGCAAAATGTAGGGGGTAATATCATTGTTAGAAGGTAATCAGGGAAACGAGAGAGAGGGAGAGCAAGTTTTCCCCTGCTGCAGTGCACGCGAACTTCCAGAAACAGGATAAGAGCAGAACCAATTTGGCTTTTCTACCAGAACCTGCAGCAATACCGTAAGCGTTATGATTGAGATACTTTGAATATTTGTTTTAACAATAAAAGTTTTTCCCAAAGCAAGACCTTTGGAAATAATAGTGGAAGTATTCTTTTCTGTGTGTTGTCTTACCGTTTTGACAGAAAAACTCTGGAAAAGGATGCTCTGCTGGCACTCTACCACCTCAAGGAAATGACCACTGGCCTTGCCCTAGCCTTTCTGGGGAAAGGGGCGGAGGGGGGGTGTCCTTTAAAAATGTACATAACGTTCCATCAGCACTTCTACATCTCCAAAGGTTAGGAAAGGAAATGGAGGCTTCAAAAGTGCACCATATTGCTATGTACAGAATGTTCTTTATAAAATGTTCATCATTGTGAGGAAAACGCAAACACACTAACCCATCAATGAGTAATAGCCACCATTTACTAAGGGCTTCACGTGTCCAACACTTTATATACCATCTTATTATGATCCTTCAGAACTATAATGCCCTAGTTTGCTTTTTCTCCAACAGCTTTATTGAGATATAATTCACGCACCATACAATTCATCCATTTAAGGCATACAGTTCAATGGTTTTTAGTATATTCACAGAGTTGTGCAATCATCTCCACAATCAATTTGAGAACATTTTCACCACTCCCCCAAAAAACCCTTTCACCTGTTGATAGTCACTCCCCATTTCACCCCAACTCCCAAAGCCCTAGGCAACAGCTAGTCTGCTTTTTGTCTCTATAGATTTGCCTAGTCTAGACATTTCATAAAAATGGAATCATATAATATGTGGTCTTTTATGACTAGCTTCTTTCAGTTAACATAGTATTTTCAAGAGTCAGCCATGTTGTAGCATATACCACTATTCATTCTTTTTTATTATCAAAAATACCATTGTATGATATACCACATCATTTTACTTATTCATTCATCTGTTGATGGACAGTTGGTTCGTTTCCACTTTTTTAGCTGTTAGGAATAATGCCGATATGAAGATTCCAACACAAGTTATTGTATAGACAGATCTTTTAACTGCTCTTGGGTATACACTTGGAATTGGAATTGCTGACTCATGGCAACTCCATGTTTAAGCTTTTGAAGAATTGCCAGACTCTTTTCCAAAGCAGCCACACCATTTGCATTCCCAACAGCAATGTATGAGTGTCCTACTTTGTTTTACAGATCTTCCTTCCTTCCTCCCTTCTCTTCCTTCCTTTCTTCTTCCTTCCTTTGCCTTCGCATTTGTTTCTCAATGTGAGTGACTTTGGGTAGGGCTGTGAAAGTTCCATTTGGACCAAGGCCAAATTATCTGAACTTTGAAGAATAATGATTGGTCCTCTTCAGGCCTTGCATGCTAAAAACATTTTGAGTTTGGACAACCTCCTCTCCCCCCACCAAACCCCTTCCCACCAACACTTTACTACTCCTGCTGGGTAGACCTTATGATTTCCATTAAGCAATTGAGATTTGCAGCAACTGTTACTGACCAGGGTTCTTGGCCTCCTTAATCAACAGAAATTGATGAGGTCAGAAAAGAAACCCAGGCAAGGCTATATTGGGGCCCCTGCCGCAGCAAGGGGGATTGAGAATAAACAGCACTTTCCCTTTTTTGCTCATTCCCTGAGGGGCGGGGGAGGCAAGCTTGTTCTTTATATGGGGTGAGGGTAGGGGTGTGTCCAGGGCTCAGGCCAGAGGGGTGTCTTAGGTGGTTTGCCCACCCCTTAGGTGGTGCATGGGGCATGCTCAGTACCCTGCTTTTGCTCCAAGCTCTTCAAAAGTGTTAGTTGGGATTTTGGTCTCTGTATCTTTTGTCCAGGATTTGCCCTAACTGTGCATGCATGCAGTTATTTTTATTCCCATAGACTTTCTTTGTATTTTGTTGCTGGAGGAGCAGTGTGTCCAGGTGCAAGCACTGCAGCAAAGGGGCCCAGGACCCAGCCTGTCTCACAACCAGTCATTTACCTAAGACCTCATAAGTTTTAAGTTAGCAGAACTATATTTATGTCCCCCACATTTCCATTTTCAAAGCCTACCTCCCGACCCTGTTTGCTGCCCCCATGTTATATTCATAATAGAATATTACACAAAGTTTAAAATTTTGTTACAGATCTATATTCATCATCTTAAAAAGACATTCATTATTAAAAGGAAAAGAATGTCAATTATATCTCAATAAAACTGGGAAATAAGTAAAACTTTTAAAGAAAGGAAAAGTCACAAAACAGCAAACATAATCACCTTTAAAATAATGTGCCTGCAGGACTTCCCTGGCGGTTCAGTGGTTAGGACTCTGCGCTTCCACTGCGGGAAGGCACGGGTTCAATACATATATATATGGCTTGGAAATTCGTATTAATAGTTGTATATTTCTAGAAGGTGGACTTATGGTTGACATAAATTTTATTATTTTTTTGCACTTTCTAAATTTTTTGGAATGAACATATATCACTTGATTCTCAGGAAAAAAAAGTATTGTCATTTTTTAAAAACTATACCATGGATATTCCACAGCTGTTAGAGATAAAGTTTTAGAGGAATATTATTTATATGAGTAAATGTCTATAATGTAACTATAAAAGGAAGACTGTCAAATACTGTATATGGAATCAATTTTGTACAGAAAATATATACATATATTGCGTGAAAATATAAAGATGTTTACCAAAATGTTAACAGTGGTTATCTTCAGGCAGTTGCATTATGAATGATTATTTTTCTTCATGTTTTCTATGTTTTACAAATTTTCTACGTTGAAAAGTATTTCTAATTTTTTAAAATTATAAATTAAATAGGAAAATGTTCCTTAAAAATATAATTAAATACACACATAATGAAACTTTGTACACACAGCTACTGGAACACTAAGAACTTAAGATTTCGATCAATTTTGTGGCACTATATTTAGTTTGAGTTGTCTTCATGAAATGTGATATGGAAACATGCTATCATCATTTTACATCTTCTCGAAGTTGTTCACTTGAAAATAATTTTAACTTGACTAAATAGAGACTATAGGAGTTTTTCTTCCTCAAGAAACAGAGATTTAGAAAGTCTAAAATAACTTTTAATTTTTTTATTTTTATTTTTTATTTTTTTTTGCGGTACGCGGGCATCTCACTGTTGTGGCCTCTCCCATTGCGGAGCACAGGCTCCGGACGCGCAGGCTCAGCGGCCATGGCTCACGGGCCCAGCCGCTCCGCAGCATGTGGGATCTTCACGGACCGGGGCACGAACCCATGTCCCCTGAATCGGCAGGCGGACTCTCAACCACTGCGCCACCAAGGAAGCCCATAAAAATAACTCTTAATATTTTAACCAACAGTTTCCAAAACAAATTGTGCCGTGTTTTATAAATAGCTGATAAAAGACTCTGGAGTCATAATTTAAAATATTTCAACTTTTGTTCTATAGGTATCTTTGATTTTTTTAATCACAATATATTATCAGACTTTGAGTATAAGAATTAATATAAAAGAAAATTACATTAAACCAAACTGTTGAGTTTAGTTGTCTTGATATTGTAGAGTCCCTATGAGATAGGCAACCCAGGATGAAGGAAGAAGGAAACTATACTTGGGACTTCTCTGGTGATGCAGTGATGAAGACTCTGTGCTCCCAATGCAGGGGGCCCGGGTTCAATCCCTGGTCAGGGAACTAGATCCCACATGCATGCTGCAAGTAAAAGTTCCCATGCCACAACTAAAGAGCCAGCGAGCCACAACTAAGGAGCCCACCTGCCACAACAAAGACCCGGCACAACCAAATAAATAAATAAATATTTAAGAAAAGAAAGAAAAAGAGAAAAAGAAAGAAAGGAAGGGACCATTCTGGTTTTATTTTGCTCAGAAACTGAACCTCGTTCCACCCTAGGCCCTAATCTAATGTGAAATTGAACTTAAAGCAAAAAAGACTAGATTACATACCCACTTGAAAAATAATTAATACGAGATAAGAGCATGGATTGCCCATTTGAAGTTCAAATGAAGTCTGTCATTTTCTGGTTTGGACTCTGTGTGAGCAAGAAAGAAATTTTTATTAATGTTATGCCACAAAGATTTTAGGGTTATTTAATATAGCAGGTAGCATTAATTAATCTGACAAATGCAGTTCCCTACTTTACTACTTACATCAAAATTAATTCCAGTTGAAACAAATATTTAAGTGCAAAATAGTCATGAAAATAGTACAAGTAAATATAGATGAATTTTAAACTATTGTTTAATTGTTTCTGCCATTACAAAATGC